AGATGAGAAAAAAAAATTGAAGCCAATTGGGGTTTATTTGAAGGAAGCTTGGTAGCGGGAAGGAGGACCTGAGTTTCTCTTTGACTTCTTTCTAGGCGGTGATGGACAGTCTTCTGGTGTTGTTTCGGTGTCTCTGTAATATATTAATGAGCTGATTGAACATTTAAATGAGTCGCTCACTTTGTCTCACTGTCGTCTGAATCATCCGAAAGTCGATGCATGTATCCAATCGGAAACTTTTCTTTGAGAGACATTGGTTTCACATGTTGTCCTGTGGAAACATCGGTCACTTCTTCAGAATCGCTTTCAGGCTTTCTCGAGCCCTTTTCTCCAAGAACATCACGAAGATCGATCTGTGAACTATGATCATTCGAGACACGATTTGATGGCTTCGGCACTGGATTGACATTCTGATATCCGAAAATATCATTCTCCTCATCAGAATCGCTGTCATACTTTCTTGGATCATCAGAAAGATCCATGCAAGAATCATGAGAGTTCAAGTGATCCACAGAAGGGTCAAGGACTAGATTGACATGTTCATCATTGGAATTACAACTAATTTCATCCTCGACGATATCTCCCGACTCATCGAAGACATTGGGTTTAGAATTCAAGCTATTCACATCACAATCACTGTCATTTTCCTCATCACTAGAAATATTCCCATCTGCTTTCCTTTCATCATCACCGCTTTCAGACTCGCCAGAGACATTTCTATTGACCTTCTTGAATTCGGATACAGTTCTCCCGCCGTTATTATGTGACCTTTTAGAGTACTTCCGGTTCGGGTATCTTTTTGCGTCTTTTCCGTCGTTGATTGATTTGATTTGCAAACTCCTCGACAGTGAAATCAAGAACTTTTCGCGAATATTCAGAACTTCTTGGCATTTTTTCGTTGGCAGTGTACTGAGTACAGCGAAGCTAAAAAAAAAACATACTCCAGTATGAAACGCAATTCAAACATACACATGTGAGCAAGTGATAGCAGGTTTTGAAGCACACTTGGGATCCTTGCATTCGATATTTGTTTCGGTCGTTTTCACAACAAAAAACGATTTGTCATCTTTCTCCACAAGATACTGACCGGATTTATGGTAGATTACGTTCTTATTGAAGACTTCTCCAATTTTCATCTGTTTCGGCACACTTCTCCATACGGTTTTCGGCATTTCAAACACATGAGATAACGAAAAAGTACGAAATCCATGTTTTCGCAAAGCTTTAACTTGACTTTGTGCTGACAAAATTCCGGTTTTTTTGAAATTCGCGTATCGGATCAGCTCGCTCTTTCCAGTCAAAATCGACTTGCAAAATTCCTTTTTCTCATCTGTAAAACATATCCAACTTTAGATGTTTTTACAGTCAACCCTACCCTCGATAAATTCCAACAGCTTATCCAAGCAAGTGCGTCCATTTAGTTTTCGTGGAATCGCAATTTTGATTCGTGAATTAAGGTTCTCAATTCGATTCGTAGTTTAGAAGCAGCCCAGCCATCAGACGAGATCGGAGAGAATGGGTTGAAAAGAGATCTTCTTTTCTATCGAGCAACCACTTCTTTAGAGCCGGCGCAAAATTACACTTGACAATCTCCGCTTCCATCGCTTCTGAACTCATTACATTGAAAATTCCATTTTCAACTTCATCTCCAATCTGTCTTCCGAAAATTTTGTTCAAATCTGACTGGCTTATATTCTTTTTACTTTGAATGAATGTCAAGTTGTTTCGACGATGTACTAGACACCTGAGAACTTGAGTGTCTTCCAAATATTTCATCTGAAAGAAACATGAGACTACACAAATTTAAAGTTTTCTATACCTTGCTGTAATATTTAAAAGATTCTTCGCCGTCTGTCATCAGTGATGGAATTGATTTTTTTCGCATAGGATCAACTTGCAGGAAGAAATCGTCAATTTCGCGAGCAAAACTCTTGTGATTTAGTGCATTTTTCGACGAGGAAATCATGAATCCTAAAAGAACATGGCGAATTTTTCCGCTGCAGCGCGATGTGAAGTCTCCTATATCTCCAGAGATTGTTGTCACAACACAATCTGACAAATCAAAAGTGCTATCAATCTGTAACTGTCCAGCC